CAGAAACATGTTTCGGCTTTGGTCATTGGTTGAGCGTTTTCGTGACGTCGGTTGGCTGGAGTGACGTCACTGTTCCAACCAAAACTAAACAAATGAGGGCGCTAGCGTGCGTGCGCGCTTTCGTGCGCACGTACATGACGTACGACTTGGGAATAAAACTGATGAAAAGAGACTACAAACACGTACAAGTTTAACGTTGCTTTAGAGTTTATTTTCCCGATTAATGTCGGTCAGCATCACATATGGAATTCTTGAACCCCTGGATCTATAGAGAAGGACACATAGAAAATGTAGGCGTGAAATAAGCTTCTGTAACGAGGTAAAACGTAACAAAAATCTGGTCCAAATTTTGGGTGGTCTTATGTAGAGAATTCTCATCCTGGACGTTACTCGTAATGCAATGAAGACTTCGTCCAACCTGGGCTACATACATGACTAGCTCTACTGAGTGGAGCGTTGAATTACGGGTACCCCTCCATACAAAAGCTCCACCGATTTGCCATACTTTGGTGACGGCGTCACGGTAGCATAGTCACATACCCACGCGAGGACAAAAAGACCCCAAAAAACCGGTAAAGAGAATACAAATGAGAGAGACAGTTATCCTGGATTGATCTATACATTCTTGACATTCCATGAGACCCCTTATATTGTTCCCAAACAGCGAAAATTTTGAAAAAAAAAACAGCAAAATAGTCTGAAAACTTACAGCTCAATGTGTTTGTAGGGAGGCTCAGTTCTTGAATCGACTTGTCGAATGAGGGCGTCTGACGTGACGTCACCGTCGTTGCTCAATCAAAGAAAAACAAGTCGCACTTTATCAACGACTGTTTTTTCGTCATTCAATGATATGTGCTCCGATCCGCGCCGTATGACAGTATGGGCTTTGAATACACCCAAGGAGCATGTATCATTACACGAAACAGTCGTTGATAAAGCGCGGCTTGTTTTTCTTCGCGATCAAGCAACGACGGTGACGTCACGTCAGACGCCCTCATTCAACAAGTCGATTCAAGAACTGAGCCTCCCTGCAAACACATTGAGCTGTAAGTTTTCAGACTATTTTGCTGGTTTTTTTTCAAAATTTTCGCTGTTTGGGAACAATATAAGGGGTCTCATGGAATGTCAAGAATGTATAGATCAATCCAGGATAACTGTCTCTCTCATTTGTATTCTCTTTATCGGTTTTTGGGGTCTTTTTGTCCTCGCGTGGGTATGTGACTATGCTACCGTGACGCCGTCACCAAAGTATGGCAAATCGGTGGAGCGTTTGTATGGAGGGGTACCCGTAATTCAACGCTCCACTCAGTAGAGCTACATACATGACATGGTCACATACCAACGCGAGGACAGAAAGACCCCCCAAAAAACCGGTAAAGAGAATACAAATGAGAGAGACAGTTACCCTGGATTGATCTACACATTCATGACATTCCATCAGACCCCTTACATTGTTCCCAAACAGCGAAAATTTTGAAGAAAAACAGCAAAATAGTCTGAAAACTTACAGCTCAATGTGTTTGCCGCGAGGCTCAATCCTTGCACCGGTTTGCCGAATGAGGGCGTCTGACGTGACGTCACCGTCGTTGCTCGATCGAAGAAAAACAAGTCGCGCTTTATCAACGACTGTTTCGTGTAATAATACGTGCTCCGATCCGCGCCTAACGACAGTATGGGCTTTGAACACACGCAAGGTGGAGACGGCTGAAACGTACACGTTCTAAATTAAAAACAAATTAATGACGACAGATACCCACATGAAACTTGTATCAAAGAACTACTAATACTGACAAATGAAAATCCCATTGTTATTAAAATACGTTTCAGCCGTCTCCACCTTGCGTGTGTTCAAAGCCCATACTGTCGTACGGCGCGGATCGGAGCACGTATTATTACACGAAACAGTCATTGATAAAGCGCGACTTGTTTTTCTTCAATCGAGCAATGACGGTGACGTCACCACGTCAGATGCCCTCATTCGGCAAACCGGTGTAAGGATTGAGCCTCACGGCGAAGACATTGAGCTGTAAGTTTTCAGACTATTTTGCTGTTTTTCTTCAAAGTTTTTGCTGTTTGGGAACAATGTAAGGGGTCTGATGGAATGTCATGATTGTGTAGATCAATCCAGGGTAACTGTCTCTCTCATTTGTATTCTCGGTAATCCTTACTTTTAGGACCCCGTTCCTATATAGGAAGGGAAAGACTCACCAAAACAGTTGACTAAATGACACTCAAAATTGACATTCTGATATTTCTTGGCACATCTGAACAATTGGCAATGACACCTTCTTGAATATCAGCAGGTTTAATTTTGTGGAAAGAGGGCAGGGCTTTGATTTATGAGGGAAATTCAGGGGTAAAAGACGACGATGACAACCAGAAAACAGTCTCAAAAACCAAGATGGCAAACGTGAAAGCTCGATGCGATGAAAGCTCGATGCTGATTGGCTGATGAAAAATAAACATTCTTATTTATTTTTAGTCTGGTTCCCAGACCAAAAGATTCAGGAGTAGTCAGAATCTTTTGGTCTGGGAACCAGACTAAATTATTTTTTTAGCAGCCAATCAGCATCGGGCTTTCATTATGTAGGGCTTTCACGCGTGTGAGAACTACAACATGCACGTCTGACTGCGAAAAAAGGTAGGAAAGTCACATTTTGTTCGAAAGTGCTTTCAAAACTACAACTAACATGAGTTTATATGAAGAAAAAAGACTGCTTTAGCTAGCTTGAGTAACTCCAGCTGACATGTTCCATATTCATTCACATGTAACGCTGGAGGAAAAACCTGTTCGTTTCCATGTGGTAGCAAGAGACCCAAAAAAAACAGCCTGTCCAAAATTGTCCAAATTTCACCTCTTTTATCCCACCCCAGATTCCTACTACCTACCTCATACCATTCGGCAGTCATTCACGAAGCTACTAATCGACTTGACACCGACCAAAAAACTAAAATATGAACATTATTGATGATTTCGTTGACTTGTCCGTTAAATTCGTGCAGTAAATTTGGCAAAGTCGACACGTTTTTGTACATGTGGATGTGTGGCCTATGTTTACGGAGGCAGTCCAGTAAATAGGCCACATTTATGGGGCTAGGGCCAGCCCAACTGTGGAACTACAGTTGGGACAGGCCCAACAATAGTTGGGACAGGCCCAACTATAGTTGGGACCGATGCGATAGTTGGGGCGTAACATCCATGATGATCGGTTAAATTTTGCGCACGGCACACTCACACGTGACCTAAACAATCGAAAAAAATCTGCTAAATCGGCTAGATCATCCTGATCGCCCTGCGCTCCACTCGTGGGCACATGCAGTGTGCGCGATGCATGTGGGTACCATACCGCTTTCAAGCGCCGCTAGTGGGTTCCATTTTCGTCTGGTGCCATGTCGTGGAAAACACAACGACTGTTTCAGGCTATTGAAATCCCCACTAAGGTGACACTGTGTGGCTTCTTTTTGCATGAAATGCGTAAAGCATGAAACAGTCGTTGTGTTTTCCACGACATGGCACCAGACGAAAATGGAACCCACTAGCGGCGCTTGAAAGCGGTATGGTAGCCACATGTATTGCGCACACTGCATGTGCCCATGAGTGGAGCGCAGGGCGATCAGGATGATCTAGCCGATTTAGCAGATTTTTTCGATTGTTTAGGTCACGTGTGACTGTGAGTGTGCCGTGCGCAAAATTAACCTATCATCATGGACGACAGCATTGGTACTGCACGAATTTAACGGACAAGTCAACGAAATCATCAATAATGTTCATATTTTTAGTTTTTGGGTCGGTGTCAAGTCGATTAGTACTAGTAATAGCTTCGTGAATGACTGCCGAAAGGTATGAGGTAGGTAGTAGTGTAACGGTAAACCTGTATACATGTACATTCATTCGTTGTTCATCCTTTTATTGTGTTCATGTCCTGTCCATCCAAAGCCTCCGTAGAGCTGACATGTATGTTGCATTGTGGGATCGTTTATGATTATGGGATAGAATCAAGATGGCCGCTAATCATGTTCAATCATCTTTAATTTAAGTGTCAATAAACCAATCATAGTTCATTGCTCAAATCCTGGAAATCCTGTCAATCAATTATCTGGACATCAATTAATAACAAATAAGTTGTTATAGTATTAGTAGGAATCTGGGGTGGGCATGGTGGGATAAAAGAGGTGAAATTTGGACAATTTTGGAGAGGCCGTTTTTTTTGGGTCTCTTGCTACCACATGGAAACGAATACTCATAGAACTATGAGGCTCCACGTAGTGGAGCCTCATAGTTCTAGGAGTAGGAAACGAACAGGTTTTTCCTACAGCGTTACATGTGAATGAATATGGAACATGTCAGCTGGAGCATGGCTGGAGTTACTCTAGCCCCATAAATGTGGCCTATTTACTGGACTGCCTCCGTAAACATAGGCCACACATCCACATGTACAAAAATCGTGTCGACGGAGCCAAATTTTGATTTTCACATTTAGGCTTAGTTTGTAGGTTTTTTTTGCTTTAGAACTTTTTAGAAGCATACTCACCCTCTTTACAGGCTAATCAGAAAGTGCTGCCTTTTTCAGATGTCTAATTTTTGTGAAATTTCATGTTGAAATTTTGATACGCAAACGTGTAAAAATGAATCTGGAAATTTCACGAAAAATATACATCTGAAAAAGGCAGCACTTTCTGATTAGCCTATAAAGAGGGTGAGTATGCTTCTAAAGCAAAAAAAACCTACAAACTAAGCCTAAATGTGAAAATCAAAATTTGGCTCCGTCGACACGATTTTTGTACATGTGGATGTGTGGCCTATGTTTACGGAGGCAGTCCAGTAAATAGGCCACATTTATGGGGCTAGAGTTACTCAAGCTACAATTTACAAACAAAGTCTAGGCTAAATGTAAAATCAAAATTTGCGAAAGCTCTACATTTTCGGGTAGGATGGGAATCCGTATAATCGTGGTACTAATATCACGTTTCTTGTTCGGAAATAGAAATTTCCCACTAACCTTCCCGAATTGTCCTGTCTTTTGTGTTGTATTTACTCTTCCTTTTCAAATTGGCATAAACAAATCCGACGGTGCGGTGGTGTGCATGGTGACCGTTTTAGCCGATTTTCGGCTAACTTTGACAGATTTTTTTCTTAAAAAAAAAAAAAAAATGGATTTTTGGGGCAGATTTCCGGCAGAATTATTGTGCAAAAATTGTTATTTGACAGAAAAACATAGCAAATGTGAAAGAAATGGTACATTTGTTTAAAAAAGCTTCAATCTTTTCAAACAATTAAGCTGGGCTTATAATGGAACAGGTTGGATGGTATATAGGTGCTGCGGTTCAACTCAGGACCGGACTTCATGGTGACGCAAGTTACCCAGGCAGTGGCGTATCCAGAGGGGGGGGGGGGGGGGGGGGGGGGGGGGGGGGGGGGGGGGGGGGGGGGGGGGGGGGGGGGGGGGGGGGCAGAGGGGGCACTCTGTTACCCCCCCCCCCCGGCGGATTATTTTGACAACAGTTTTTGTTCAGCAATTATTGCAATAAATGGTTAAAGAGTGCATCAATCCCCAAAAGAAAACCCGCTCAAAAAACATTACAATGCGCCGTGAAAATGGGTATCTCGCTGCAGTATGTATAATAATGATCAGTTTTGAAGGGCGGCCCCATTTGGAAACTTTTTGATCCAGTGCCCGGAGAAAAAAAACATGTCTACTAGTGTAACATTTCGGCGCGGATGTGCGGTTGCCCCCCCCCCTCCCCGACATACGCTACTACTGATGCAACTGCATTTTGTCTGAAATTTTAGCAATTTCATAACATCGTTCTTTGACTAAGATTGTTTATAATGTAATTTGAACCTTAATTAAGGCAATCATACAACATCTGCGTTTGATTTTAAGTGTTTACAGTGTATTTTGAGTAATTCTGGCCGGGAATTTGGCAGATTTTTTTTTTATCAATCTGACAGATTTTTGAAGTCCATTTAGCAGAATTTGGCCATGAGCTTACGGTGTGGTTTATCTGTACCGTACGCAATCGCTCGAACGGGTACGGAGCACTGATCTCTATAAAAAGACTGGATAGCGGATATGCATACAACATTCACACAGTAGACTTTGCATATTGACCAATTCGCCCCCGGTCTCACGAAGATGGCCGCGCATAATACGAACGTTCTACACGTAAATACGCGCGCGTTGTAACAACAGTTGACGCGCATTTTGGTCACGTACACATATTATGATGTTCTAAAAGGGACACATTTCCGTAGTGATTGTTATTTCAAAAACGCCGAAAAAGTGATTTGCGGCATTATAAAGTAACCACAACGTAGTAAACCTTGGTCAGTTGGTCAGTGGTGGTGGTCTAAATATAAGTCAGGTGAACCGCGACGTTACAAAAGAAATCATGCTGTCTATAAAGACGGCAACTTGTCCTTTGTAGATCACCAGCCGGTCTCACCAATATGGCGTCAAATTCGTACATTGTGTGGCTCTTTATTAGCTATCCAGTCTTTATATAGAGATCAGTGGTACGCGTACGGAGGGAGGTACAGCAGTTGACTCCGTAGAATATGGGCGGCCATTAGGGCAAAAAAGACAATCACAAAATTAAAGTTAAACAGAAATACAATAAAATCAAATGTACAAAATAAACAATAACGTACAATTAACACTGAAAATGTAGGACAACAAAATAAAGAAACCCAAAACAAAACTGAATTGTAAAAAAAATAAAAACACAAATTAAACATAACAAATAAACATTCGTGTTAAAGGGAATATACATCATTTGCTTTTGCTGTAATTTTCAGAAATGGATGGAATTGGGGGGTTGAAAATATAAAGCAAATATAGTTACACTTCTTTTTGGAGGTTTTGGGTTCGAAAATGCTATAAAAACCAAGAAAAACGATCATTTTCCTGTAGTCTGGTTCCCTGACTCCATATAAGAAGAAACAGATCAGTTTACATAAATTGGCCGATCAGCGTTGGAAATTGATACAAAAATACCACTTTTCTTGAAAATGACAGTATACCAGGTGCCATAATTTTACAGGATGCTTTAGACGGTCATTTACCAACATCCTATTAAGGTATTTCGCAAAAACTTGGTAGTTTTATTTTTCGATGTTTGCAAATGTTGTACAATAATAAACGCAAAAGTTGCACGTGTACAGTCTATGTAGCGCGGCCACGCAGCAGTGATGGGTTGTTGTATACCAGTCCATGTAGACTGGTACCCCGCTTTAAGTAATTTTGGGGTTTACAATTTTATCGCGGGACTTACAGTAATTTGGGGGTTTACATTCGTCGCGGGACTAATACAGTAATTTTGGGGTATACATTCGTCGCGGCCGGACTTACAGTAATATTGGGGTATACATTCGACGCGGGACTTACAGTAATTTTGGGATATATACATTCGTCGCGGGGCTTACAGTAATTTTGGGGTATACATTCGTTGCGGCCGGGACTTAAAAAAAAAAAGTGTTATGTTGGCGTAACCCGACCGACCCTAAAAATGCGGCCGACCCTGGATATTTTTTTTTTTTGAAGGGAAGAAATATAATTAAAATCTATAGAAATGAATTTAAAATACGTTTTGAAACCATTTCTGACCGTTTCTCCTCAATTGTATGCCGATAGCGCGCGTGGAACTTTGGAGTGCACAATGTTTTGCACCTTCCTCTCCATGACACAACGAACATGCAGAAGATCGCGCAGGCCTCAGCCTCGACTCCAGGGGCGCGTGCGCGTTCCTTCGTTCCTTACACTAGGCATGATGGGAAACAACATGGCGCTGCAAGATCGTATCCACGGGGCACGAGGTTGCGCAGGCCTAGCCTACAGGCAGTGCGCGTGCGGAGATCGATGCACCATGCATGCAAGATAGATGCACATGTACATGTACAGTACATGTATAGCCTCGTCCTAGACTGTTGCACGGCTCGAACTGCTACATACACTATTGCATGATAGATGCACATGTACATGTACAGTACATGTATAGCCTCGTCCTAGACTGTTGCACGGCTCGAACTGCTACATACACTATTGAAAATACTTCGCTATTTATTCCATGTTAAAAAAAATAGTTCATTATAATATAAATTATTTTAATTAATTTTCCACTATTTTACACGATAACAATTGATATATATTATTCTAAAAATGGTAAACTATTCTGTAACCCGGCGGCCGACGCGACCCGGCCGCGCCGGCCCCCGGCCGGCCCGTGATTACGCGCGTACGCCGTCGCATCATGGCGCCCGGTACCGCGACCGAAGCGTACAGTGTTTCCATCAAGGGCATATGGGGATCTTCGGTCATTTTCGACCGTTTAATGCGGATAATTTGAGTCTAGAGCTGGGGGTAATCGCCCAGAGCTGTGCCGATGGTGTACAAGTGGGTTACACCGTGCTAAAAATACAAACTTTCAAGGAAGAATCGGGTCCATATAAAGATGTCGATGCAGATGAAACGGCTAACATTTTGTCTGATTTTGGATTCCGCTTTTTGATATGTATCTTTGATATGTAGGCCTACCATGCCTTCCTTAAATTTTCCTCGATCTGACAGTTTTGTTTTATTTGCACAAAAACAAGAAACTATAAAAGAAAGACATAAAAAGTGAAATAAATGTCACTCAGAGTTTAAAAGTATACAATTAGTAGCCTTGTTTTGTTATCATGTATTACTACCGGCTTAATGTCATTTTCGTTGCTGGGATTTAAAAAAAAAAAAAAAAAAAAAAAAAAAAAACCCGACCGACCTACCCTATTTTTTCTGGCCCGTTACGCCAACATAACTTTTTTTTTTTTAGGCCTTACTGTAATTTTGGGGCATACATTCGACGCGGGACTTAAAGTAATTTTAGGGTATACATTCGTCGCGGGGCTTACAGTAATTTGGGGGTTTACATTCGTGGCGATACTTACAGTAATTTTGGGGTTTACATTCTTCGCGGGGCTTACAGTAATGTTGGGTTTAGTTTAATTTGTGTTTTATTGTACGTTTAACACGAATGTTTTATTTTTTATGTTAATTTTTTTAATTTTTTACGTTTCAATTTTGTTTTGTTGTCCTACATTTTCATTGTTAATTGTACGTTATTGTTAATTTTTTTTTGCATTTTATTTATTTTATTTTTGCTTAATGTTTATTTTGTGATTGTCTTTTTTGCCCTAATTGCCGCCCATAGTAGTAGGGACCATTAGAAAACGATGCAGATGCTCACAGCTCGGAAAGACTGTGGATGACGTCATCAGTTTGTGCGGTAAATTTCAACCAAAGATATAGATGGTATAGCGCCCATAGCGCCCCGTAGCGGCGCTATACGCGCGCTCTAGGATCTTTGATTTCAACCATTGATCTCCATATGTGTATATGGAGATCAATGATTTCAACGCACTCGCACGGCGTTTCTGCATCGCACGTCAAAATGGTAAGTTCACGTATGGATTTTCCTCGATAAATCACGGCAAAAATACTTATATTATGAACCCCCAAATTTTACAACTTTCAGTTATAGTTTTATTAAAAGAAGAATTACAAAGATGTGATGGGGATTTTATTATATTACCTGATTACTAGCCAAGGGCGGATCCAGAACACAATTTTTTGGGGGGCCAAAAAAAATTTCGTCCCCCCAAAAAGTTGGTCTAAAAAATTACGGCGTGGGGTTCGGGGCCCGCTTAAGGGCCCCGAAAATTGTTTGGATTCTAGATGCTCTGTGGTGCGATCTGAGGCAATTTCTGACCACTTTAACCAATTTATTTTGAGGAAAAGATGGTGGAGTACTCATTGCCTGCCTTTATTGCGATGTCACATTAAAACAAAAAAAATTGGTTTCGTTTTGGGGGGGGGGGGGGCATGGCCCCCTTTGGCCCTCCCCCCCTGGATCCGCCCTTGTTACTAGCTGGAGTTACCCAGCCCTAAATTTTATCATTGGGTTGTCATCTAGTAGTAGGGAGGACGGCACTTTTTGCATTTTAAAAGATTTCACAGACAAATTTGGCATCATTGATAAGCTTATAACCTGAGGATTACAACGGTGCTAAAATTAACTTCGTAGCTTCTTATGGTGAGGAGTTAAGACAATTT